CAAGACATTAATAGAAAAATCAGCAATGATGTGCTTCTGTTTTTGTATAGAAGTCATGTGGTAGATTCTGTAAAAGTAAAGATTATAAAAGTCAGTGTGAGCAAACTTTTAGTGAGATTCCAGATCTTAATCCAAAAAAAAAAAAAAAAAAAAAAAGTTCTTAGTTGAATAAAACCATGTAAATGTGACTTGACTGGAAAAGTCTTCATATGTTGTTTATTCCTTAATAGGCACATGATAACCAACTCTGGATACAACCTATATGAAAGTGAAGAATATTCTGAGGAGCCATATAAACCATATAGGAACTCTTTCATTTCTCTTATGAGTATTCAAAGTCATGTGATAATGGACACTGGAGGTAAACCTTATAAATGTATGCTGTGTGGGAAAGCCTTTCATTTCCCCAGTGAATTCAGAATACATCTAAGAACTCACACAGGAGAGAAACCTTATGAATGTAAGCAGTGTGGTAAAGCTTTCAGTCATTCCAGTTCCTTTCGAAAACATGAAAGAACTCACACAGGAGAGAGGCCCTATGTATGTAAACAGTGTGGGAAAGCCTTCAATTGTTCTGGTTCAATCCGAAAACATGAAAGAACTCATACTGGAGAGAAGCCCTATGAATGTAAACAGTGTGGGAAAGCCTTCAATTGTCCCAGTTACGTTCAAATCCATGAAAGAAGTCACACTGGAGAGAAGCCCTATGAATGTAAACAGTGTGATAAAACATTCAGTTGCTCTAGTTCCCTTCGGAAGCATGAAAGAACTCACACTGGAGAGAAGCCCTACGAATGCAAACAGTGTGGGAAAGCCTTCAGCTGTTCCAGTTCCTTTCGAAAACATGAACGAACTCACACAGGGGAGAGGCCCTATGAATGTAAACAGTGTGGTAAGGCCTTCTTCTCTCTCACGAGTGTTCGAACGCACATGATAAAGCATACTGGAAATGGGCCTTTTAAATGCAGTGTATGTAAGGAAGTGTTTCCTTTTTCCAGTGTGTTTAGAAGACATCAGACATCTCATGCTGGAAAGAAGCCCTATGAATGCAAACCCTGCAGCAAATGGTTTAGTTCTCTCACTTCACTTCAAATACATGAAAGAACTCATAACAGGGAGAAGCCCTACACATGTAAGCAATGTGGTAAAGCATTCACCTGTCTCAGTTCCATTCGAAAACATGAACGAACTCACACTGGGGAAAAGTCCTATCCGTGTAAACAGTGTGGGAAGTGGTTCAGTGCTTCCGGTTCTCTTCAAATACATGAACGAATTCACAGTGGAGAAAAGCCCTAACAGTGTGGTAGGGCCTTCAGTCGGTCACTTCCATTCGGGAACATGAACAAACTCATAGTGAGGAGAAACCCTGTGACTCTAATGTGGGGAAGCCTTCACTTCCAGTTGAAATTGATTGCTAGACAGTCTTATGAATATAAATTCTGGTAAGTCCTTATTTTCTCTCACATATTTTGAATAAAAATGATAAAGCACACCAGAAGTGGACCTTTTAATGTGAGGTGTGTCAAAAGGCCTTTCACAGTGCCAGTGTATTTTTATTTAGAACACATCAAATAACTCATACAGGAAAGAAACCATGTGAATGTAAAAAATGTGGTAAATCCTTTACTGCTTCTTTTATCCTTAAGACTGTAAGAGAATTCATGCTGGAGAGTATCCCTATTAATGAAAGCAATGGAGAATTACTTATTACAATTGCCTTTGTACAGAGGAATGAACTTGTACTGGAGAAACGTCCTTTGAGTACAAATAAATATGGTAAATATCACATTCCCATTTGTCTTCAAAGGAACTAAAATACTCCTTGGACAGTAAATAATCAGAAAGTGATTATAAGGAATATAAAAAAAGTTGTCTTGATTTTTTTCAAGGACACAAAAAGATCCCCACTGGGTAATAACCCTATTTATATGAGAAAAATGCTAAAGGCTTCAGATGCAGCAGCTCTTAGGTTGTGTGAAAGAATACCCACAGGTGAAACACTGAATAAGAATGTGGGGGAAGCATTTGATTTTGCACTTTCCTTCAAAGACATGAAAAGGACTGAGAAGGGAAAAAAGCCTATAGCTCTAAGGAATGTGGTTAAGCTTTCAATTTTTACAGTTCTTTTTGAAAGGCATTGAAGAACTCTGGGGAAAAGTCTGAGTGTGGGAAATGTCAGAAGACCTTCATTTTTCCATTTCGTTCAGAGATACTAAAGAACTCATTTAGAAGAAGACTGTTGGGTACACAGGAAGTCCACTGCTTCATTTCTCATTGAAAGGCACATGATAATGCACACTGGAGATGGGCAGGCATCATACTGACTTTACAGTGTGAAAATACTGCTTTTCTGGGTTAAAGCATGGAATGTGTTTTTTATATTAGATGTAGTTTTGCATTATTTTGTTGAGACTTTTTATAGCTGTATTCAAATAGATTTGTGTATCTTGGTATAATATAGTATTACTACATACAGTGTATGCATGTGTATATGTGTATCTGTGGGATACAGCATAGTTTGTACATGAGTAGTATATATTACATAACTAGTTTATATAGTAATTAAAATAGATGTAACCACTATTTTACTACATAATATTAGACCACATTGGCTATGCTATTGCAGTCTTATCAGTGTGTAGAATAAAGTATTGCATTCACTCAACCCACTCCCCGTCTCCAGCTACTTCTTGCTCTAGAGCATGGCTACCAGGATCCCCAATATTCAACATCACCTATTTTTACTAGGTAGAACCCAGGGATGATTTTCTTACCAACCCATGCACTTGGGACTGCAGCTGATATGAAGATACTCAGTGTCAACCTGGTGTGGTGGTGCACACCTTTAATGCCAAAGATAGGGAGGCAGAGGCAGGAGGGCCTCAGTGGGTGTGAGACAGCCTGGTCTGCACAGTGAGTTCCAGAACAGCCAGGGATATACAAAGAGGTACTGTTTAAACAAACAAACAAACAAACAAACAAAACAAAAACAATGAAAACCAACCAACCAAGAACCCACAAAATCTTTAGCCTCACCCATTCTTGTCCTTGAGGACTATGGTCTTATTTTGCAGCTCTGGGAATGTGTCTATCCCAAAGGTCAGACCAGGCGCCTGTAGGATTACACATACCAAAGTTAAAAGGCCTAGCACCATCTTTACTCAAGGGATGTGTGGTCTTTCATTTTACAACTGTAAGAGATTGGACACCAGAACCATAAATCCAAATGTTACCTTTAAATGTCCCATCATTTTTAGGGAAGATTTTTAGAACAAATAGACCTCAGAGATTCTGAAAAGAGTCCTGGTGCTACTTGGGCTTCCACCATGAGGCTTCAGGAAGGTCTCATCTAGGTCCCATACCCACAAAAGTGCTACATGCCATGACACCTACTTCATGTCATTCTTAAGGAAGGTACCTTTTGTGTTTCAAAACACATTCTGGTAGTATGATGTCATCTACCACAGCCTTATCTTACAGGACCTGGTGAAGGTGCCATGGCTTCCTGTGACATCAACACTTTGGTCACTGGTGCCACAGTCCCATGCCTCTCCTGCAGTTTTGAGTCCCAGGGAAGTTCTTCAATGGCTCTGAATGACTCAGACTACGGTGTCACCTGTGCTTGTAAGTTGCCACCGAAATGCCATAATAGCTGCGAATCCACACACCTTTGGGTGCCTGTGTTCTACTTAGTTGTACAACTATTTTATGAACTGATGTGGTCTGGACCACCAGGGTACTCGTGGACACTGCTGACATCAAGCAAAAATGAAGAAAGCGCACGGGCTGCGCTCATTTGTAGGCAAAGATTCGAGTCCAGAAGGCACCCTACAAGGAATTTTACAGGTCCACACAGGTAGGGTTTTAAGCAGAGACAGTTGAATAGCTGGGGAGAAAGGCCAGAGGCTCAGGTCCCCACTAACCAGCATATGGGGGTCTTTATATGTCATTTGTACAGAGCGCTCTTGTCAGTATGCTGAAGCTTCAGTTGGGGTGACGCTCTCCTCCCCCGGAATTTATCACTCGTTTCTTTTCTATACTGATACATAATTTATATAGCATATACTTTACAGGTTCCACTCGACTCTCCTGCCACAACTTTATATCAAACCTGTTGGCTATGGGGATCATAGGCCCCTTCATATTTACTTCTCCATGTTTCAGTGTCTTTCCTCTTCACCAGCCAAGCACGAAAACCACCTTAAGAATCAGTATGGTATAGAAGTCTGGCTGTGACTGAGACACAGATTGGCGAGTTCAGGCCTGTGTGATGCAGGGTGTGGAGGGTCACTCGGTGTCTGCTCCCTCTCAGACGGCATTGCTTGTCTTCTCCAGTGTCAGTTCCTCAGGGGCATTTGGTAGAACAGCTGCCACCACTTGTGAATTTCCCACACATGCACTGGCAGGTGAGGTTTGTGTGAGCAAACAGCTAGCTAGCTGTGGTCTGTGGGTAAGTCACCAGGTATGACTGGTCAGCTCCCAAATCCTCCCTCACTGCAAAGCCTGCATAAAGAGATGATTGGCATGATTTCAGCCTCACAGAGGTCATTGCCTAAGCTTGCATGCACCAGCTGACAAGACAGAACCTTGCTTCATATAGCACTTTGTCCTGTGTGGATCTGAGGGAAAATGACTCATTACTCATCACCTGCCATGCCTTGTGACTCCCAACAATGAGAAGCAAGAGAAAAGAGTGAGACCTCCCTACCCTGTCTCCTCAGCAAGCGGAAAACAATACCTGGTGATGGCCACTTTTATTGCTCCACCACTTATAATTATTCCTGTGTGAATCTGCAAATTAGGAATGTTTCTCACAGGCAATAAACAGTTGGGTTTGTTTGTTTGTTTGTTTGAGACTGCGTCTTTCTAAGTAGTCCTGGCAGTCCTGGAACTCTTTATATAGACCAGGCTGGCCTTGAACTCACAGAGATCCTCATGTCTCTGCCCTTTGCATGCTGAAATTAAAGGCATGAGCCACCATGCCAGGCCATTTTTTTGTTTGTTTTGGTTTTTCCCCTTTAAGATAGGATCGCTTGTATCCTTGATGGGCATTATACTTGCTAGGTAGCCTAAATAGGCCTTGAACTTCACTGATCCTCCTGTTTCCACCTCCCACCTTCTGGGATTACAGCTGTGTACTCTCATGCTTGATCTTGCAATACTGGAAATGAAACCCAGGACTCCCTGCATGCTAGGCAAGAACTCTGCCACCGGAGGTGCTCCACACCCCCTGCCCAGATGGTGCTTTCTTGGGGCTGGGAAAATAGCTCAGTTGGTAAAGTGATTGCTCTGCAAGCATGAGGACCTGAGTTGAGATCTCCAACACTTGTGTGAAAAGCTGGGTGTGGCAATGCACGTCTGTAACCCCGGGGCTAATGAGATAGAGAAAGGCAGATCCCTAGAGCTTAGGAGCCAGCCAACGTAGCTGAATTAGTGAGCTCCAAGTCCAGTGAGAAACCCTGTCTGAAAAAATAAGGCAGAGAGTGATTGAGGAAGACACCAGCATCGACACTGGTTGTGTGGTTTCAGGGCTCTAAGAAAGTGGTTAATTTTTCCATGATGTTGAAGATAGAAAATCTGGTCCAATCAGTGTCACAGCTCATCTTAATCTCCATTAACAGTTATTTCATTTTATCTTAAGCTCTTAGAAGAAAAGGAAAAGATTCTTGAGTCACCTCACTGTGACTGGTTAAAGCCTTCTTGATGAGACATAAAAAGGACTACACAGTTTTAAGCTGAGACTTCTCAAATGGCTGGCTTAATGTTGCCATGGTTCTTCTGACAGGAAACTGTGAAAGACCCCCGAGGGGAATCTTCCGTCAGGGAGACCCCCACTCCCAAGGATCAGCGAAACCAGTTGTTCGGCTGCAAACAGCAAGAGGCTTTATTCAATACACGGGTACCCGGGGCGACAAAGTCTCTCGGAGGACTTGCGCGCCCCCTGGGTGGAAAGCTGGGCTTTTTATAGGGTTTTAGAGCAGAAGCGCGGGTACAGAAGCGAGAAGCATGGTTACAGGGAGCTGATTGGTACATTTAAATGAGACCACAATTTGAGTCAGAGTTTGGCAGGGACACCAGGATTCCAGGAACTGGGTGGTCGAGACGGTCATGATGACCCCTTAACTTGGGCTGCCACCTGTTGTTTTCCTTAGGACTCCTATCTCAACTGGAACAGATATCCCATGAGGGTGATTAACACAAACTGTTTTTAGCTCGACTGGGGCAGCCTGACCCCAGATATGACACAGCTGGGTTTCTCAGTAATTTTCCAGTTCCCCACCTAGCCTACAGAGTTTCTCAAAACAGTGGTGTCCCACAAAATGGCGTTAGCTATGTCTAACTTAGGGTGAGGCGGGGGTCTTTCAACTGAACCCAGTTCATTGTGATGACACGAAATCTAACTACCACACTATCAGGGAGATGCATGGCTTTGGTGCCAAAAGAAAGCTAATGTCTATGAAATCTGTATTTTTATTTGACAAAGAAGTGTAATAGACTGACTACCTTAGGTTTCTATTGTGATAAAACTCAGATCAAAAATAAATTGGGGAGTGTCTCAGTTACTTTTCTAGTGATGTGACAAAATGCCATGACCAAGGCAATTTCTATAAGAAAGCATTTGTTGGTACTTACAGTTCCAGAGGGTTAGAGTCCACAACTTTTATAGTGGGGATCATGGTAGCAGGCAGGCAGGCAGTCATGGTGCTGAAGCAGTAATGGAGAGCTTGCATCCGTTCTCAAAAGTAGGAGGCAGAGAGAGCCAACTGGGATGGGAATGGCTTTTGAATGTCCACTTCCTCCAATAAAGTCACACCCCCTAATCCTAATCCTTCCTGAACAGTTCCACCAACTGGAGACAAAGAATTCAACTACAAGAGCCTATGGGTACCATTCTCATTCAAACCACCACAGGGAAGAACGTGTTGACTTCCTTTTGTATTTCCAGGTTACGGGAACTCAAACAGGGCAGACACATTGAGGCAGTAACTGAAACAGAAGCCATGGAGGAATTCTTACTGGCTTGCTTCACTTGGTTTCTCATATACTGCTCCACTATCTGCCCAGAGTGGGGACCTTCCACAGTGGGTCAGGCCCTTCCACCTCAGTCATTGATCAAGAAAATGCTCCACAGATTGGCCCACATGCCAGTTTTAGGGAGGCATTTTCTTAATTATGAGCCTCTGTTCTCAGATATGTACAGGTTTGTGGCACACTGACAAAAACTAACCAGTACACAGCAATATAGTGATACAGATGTACTGTGGCATATGAACATAAATTATATTTGTGACAAAATTGAATAGATTAAGGTGATTTATTCATAGGCTAATATAATCATGGATAAGCTATGAACTAAACTTGTCAAGTGAAATCTGAATGGAAAAAAGGAAAGGAAAGGACATGACTGCTTCTAGGTATGATGGAGGAGGAAGTTTATTATAGCTATGTTTGAGAACATAGCCAGAGGCAGATACATCTGGGAGCGTCCAAAGTGGTCATGATGCTGAGCCTTGTCGGGGGAAGGGGAGAGGAAGGAAGAGAGGTAAGAGAGGAACCAGGTGCAGCAGCCAGGAGGCCAAAGTTACAAAAGGGATGGGTAACCAAAATGTCTGGATTATATAGGGAAGAGCCTTGGGGGAAGGGCAGCCTAGGCACTGGG